CGTAGTGGTGGGTACCTGTAATCCCAGCTACTTGGAAGGCTGAAGCAGGAGAATCGGTTGAACCCTGGAGGTGGAGGTTGCAATGAGCCAGGACTGCGCCATTGCACTCCAGCCTGGGCATTAAGAATGAAACTGTCTTGCTCTCTCGCCAGGCTGGAGTGCAGTGGCACAATCTCGGCTCACTGTAATCTCCGTCTCCCAGGTCCAAGTGATTATCCTGCCTCAGCCTCCCGAGTAGCTGGGACTACGGGCTTGTGCCACCACGCCCGGCTAATTTTTGTATTTTTAGTAGAGACAGAGTTTCACCATGTTAGCCAGCATGGACTTTATCTCCTGACCTCATGACCTGCTCGCCGCAGCCCCCCGAAGTGCTAGGATTACAGGTGTGAGCCACCACGCCCAGCCTGAGCCACCGCGCCCAAGATTTTTGAAAATCACTATTTCAAAGGATCAAATATAGCTAAGACAGGCCACGTGCGGTGGTTCATGCCTGTAATCCCAGCACTTTGGGAGGCCGAGGCAAGTGGATCATCTGAGGTAAGGAGTTCGAGACCAGCCTGGGAAACATGGCAAAACCCTGTCTCTACTAAAAATACAAAAATTAACCAGATGTAGTGGCAGGCGCCTGTAATCCCAGTTACTGAGGAGGCTGAGGCAGGAGACGCGCTTGAAAGCAGGAGGCAGAGGTTGCAGTGAGCCGAGACAGCACCACTGCACTCCAGCCTGGGTGACAGAGGAAGACTCTGCCAAAAAAAAAAAAAAAAAGAAAAAGAAAATATTAATATACAGAATAAACACAGAACTTCTCCTGCGAAAAAAAGAAAAAGACAATCCAATGGGGGAAATGGCAAAATATACATATAGGCAATTCACAAGGGAAACACGCAAATGGAACTAATGTATGAAATAATTATTAGCCTTGTTAGTAATCAAGGAATGTAAATTAAAACAATATCGTATCATTTCACTCCCTCCAACTGGCAAAAACTGTGAACTCCTAGAGAAGGTAGGATGTACACACTACAACCCAGCAACTTCTCTCCTGGTCATTTATGCATCTTAGAGAGCTGCTCCACACATAGGTGAGAAACCACACAACCATGCTCACTGAAGAATCTTTGGAATAGCAAAAAGTCAGCAAAGACCTACATATTCATCAACAGGAGAAAGGACAAATTGTTCTACTCATACAATGGAATGCTTTAAATCAATTAAAGTTAATGAACTGTAGCAACATGTATCAATATGGATAAACCTCAAAAACAATGTTGATTCAAAAAACAAGTTGTAGATGATGCATACATTATGTAAGGTTTTCTACAATGTATATACCCAAGTATACTGAAGATACAAAAGCATGCATGGAAAGTCTCCAAACCAACATAATGATTGTATCTAAGGAGGGAAGAAAATGGCACTGAGGAAGGGGCTTCAATTGTGGAATATCTTACTTAAGTGCATATGCACATTTAAGTGTGGGTGTGTTTGCATGTGTGTGTGTGCATGCGTGTGTGTGTGTGTGTGTATGTGTGTCTGAAGCAATTACCGCAAAACACTTAAGTCTGACAAAGCTGAGTTCTGGGTACGGATGTATCTGTTCTAGTTTTTATGCTTTTCTTAAACCATTTAATCACACAAAACTCACCGAAACCATCATGCATTCCTACCCCGCAGAGCCAGCGCTCCCCCAGCCTCACACCAGCGAAGGCTCAGCAGGGAGCAGCAGCTACCGCGTCTTACCAGGTTACCAGAGCAGCAGGGGCGGCTCCTCTTAGCTGCTGCTCTTCAGCCCCTAGGACCCTGCAGAACTCAGAAGCATTCCCTATCTGCTTCTGCCCTGTCCCCAGGGAGATGTACAAGTGGGCATCATGTAGAACAGATACTTCCCACAAGGCAGCCCAAGCAGGTGGGACAAATGGGACCAGGTTCCTGCGCACAGCCAGGACATCCCTGTGCCTGGGGGTTAAATGAGTAACCCAGAGAGTCCCCAGCCTTCCCTCAGGCACAGGTGGATCTCAGGGAGCACAAAGAGCAAGAGATTTGCAGTCTGGGTCATGTGTGTCCAAATCCAGCTCCAACATGAAATAATTTTGTGACCCCAGGCAAATTGTTTAGCCTAAGCCTCTGCTTTTACAACGCTTTTTTTTTTTTTTTTTTGAGACAGAGTCTCGCTCCACTCTGTTGCTCAGGCTGGAGCACAGTGGTGTGGTCTCAACTCACTGCAACCTCCACCTCCCAGGTTCAAGCAATTCTCCTACCTCAGCCTCCCAACCTTCTACAACTTAAAATCAGGAATAGGCCGGGCGCGGTGGCTCACGCCTGTAATCCCAGCACTTTGGGAGGCCGAGGCGGGTGGATCACGAGGTCAAGAGATCGAGACCATCCTGATCAACATGGTGAAACCCCGTCTCTACTAAAAATACA